ACTACGAAACGCGTCTCGCGATGCTTGATCTCTTTCCCCTGGAGTACCGTCGCCTCCGAGGGGACCTAATTCTTACTTATGCCCTGTTTGAACAAAGTTCGGCAAACAGGTTTTTCACCGTTGACCCAGCAAACACACGGCGGGGGCATGGTAAGAAAATTTTCCAGCTCAGAGCACACACATTCATTAGACAAAAATTTTTTCATTTCGGGTAGTAGGTGCGTGGAATGACCTTCCTCCGACGGTTGTCCACGCCCCTTCTAGAACCCAGTTTGAAGCACTATTAGACATTAGACTGTTGTGCGAATCCTCGCGCTTGCAAGCATACTGCCCCGCGCTGGGAACATAAAGGGCAGTGCTTTACCCTTTTTTCACTCGTGCCTTTCAGGGGAACGACAGCCACTGACCGATAAGAACAAAAGCGACCGGGGAAACTTGGGCAAAAGCCTCGATCCTGTGTATCAATCCGTGAATCCGTGAATCCACTTAAATAATTGCCACACCCGTCGGTTTCACCGGTTAACATTCACAAATACGTTGTTTCAAAGACAGCATAACAGCAGATAAAAAGTCACCCCTTTAATGACAAGCGTCCACCAGGACCAGGCCATTTTACTGTAAACCATGGCGTCGCTGACGGCGAACTGACCTGATCAGAAGTTGTTGAAATGTATTGAAGTCAACACTGATATGAACCTTGGGAGCGCCGCAGTGTTCAGTTTGTTTTGAGTTATGGATTGGGGCGACTCTTTCTCGTTGGGAATGGGTGATATGAAACCAAATGCATTTGACTTACCCCACTCTTCCATGAAAACTGAGGATTTCGACATTATGCTGCCTCTTTCAAGGTATCTGGTGTTTCTCTAGCTTTATACAACCACTCAGTACACAACTTCAAACAAATGACACAATAACGTTCTCGCAAGCAGATATTAGGTAAGTTCGTTGAACACAGGAGTATTGTCTTTGTTCTCATCAGTAATATTGTGTTTTGAGCCTGACTAGTAGGCATCAGTTATGCAGTTTGTCATGTGCCTACAGTACTGCGCACATGTATGTCCGCGAATTCTGTTCTTTTCAGTCAGATTAGTAGGACCGCATAAGGTCAGAAATCCAGCAGATCCACAGAAAATTGTGCAACAGAATGCGGTGAATGAAATGTATTAGGTAGACAGGGAACCGAGTCCCGGCCGGTCGAAATTACGGCGCAAGCACTCCATGGGCGGGAATATATCCAGCGTCTAGGTCCGACAGGATATTCCGTTTCGAGATAACTTATTTGACCAAGTGGCAAACATCTTAAATATTGCTCACTATAATACGTCTTCCAGAGACGTTCCGCCCCATTCTGTCAACCTTTGGATTGCTTACCTGCAGGCCATTGAATTTGAGCGTAAACACTGCGGCGGATTGTTTCATTCCATCTGCGTGGACTTGTCCGCATAAAGGTATGCAGAATGCGAACCCACTCAGCCCATGGATCAGTAAATTTTACTCGACTAACTCCTTAAAATTTTGGAGGCTGTTTTCTCATTGCGCTGGGCTACGGGTGACCTTACTTCAGAGCTAAACCCAGCGCACACGACGGCAAAACATCTGAGAATCCCGAATGGTCAATGACGACTGCCGAGAATAAATAACATATCTGAATAACAACGCGCGATTTTCCTTCTTCGCCTGCACGAACCGCGTTGGTCCACGTAATCACATATTAATACACAGGATCGAGGCTTTCGCCCAAGTTTCCCTTATCGGCTTTGTTCTATTCGTTCACTGGTCGCCGTCCATCTGAAAAGCACACGCAAGAAAATGGTGTAGCACTGCCCTTCAAGTTCTCAGCCCAAGAGAGTCAGTTGAAATAGGTAGCAAAAGTCTTCTTCATCTCCTGAGACCTCGGTCTTTTATTCGGCTCTTCATTATTTGATGTTTAATGAGTTTGCATGCGCCGTCATACTGATTGACTGCTGATACAGAATTCCTTGCATGAATAGCGATCTCGACGATATCCAGTAGTCATTTAATTGTATCGGAGAAGTCAGACAGACAGCAATGAATGCTAATAGCATACCTCCCTTCACATTTTACCATGCTCTATCCACCTCGCTTTACCGTAGAGTTGTTGAGGCAGTTATGATGATGCTGTTTAGCTCTGCTGTTCCTTCGATTATGGCAGATCGGCATACTCCTTGTTGACTTCTGAGGTCTTGAATGGAACCTAATTTTCAGGCCTGCACGCCTCATGGCGTGAACGGGATCAAATTATGTACCCCACAATCTTGAACTGTGGATCTTCGCCGGCGGATGATGTCTACGTCATCCAACTGGGTCTGCGGCTTATTTGCAGTTCATTTGAAGTGGCCGCCAGATTACGCGTTGTGAACGTTTATGCCGAAATTTCGTACTTGTCAGAAGGAGTTCGTGATCACGACACAACCGGAGAAGTTGCTCCTTGTTGTCCATGACATGAGCATCTACTCCGAATCAACCATCCAGATTTTATTCGAAGGTGCTAAGACAAAGTACGGACGTTAAAAGCTCCTATGTAGGATGGATCTCGTGGATTTAGCAAGGTATTCTTCTGTTTATTGTTTATGGGGAGCGGGGTGCATAAGGTCCATCGGCCATATAGCTGACGGTCAAGTGACGAAGCAACGTTTGCTTGTGTGGTGTGAAGGGGCTGGAAACAAACGTTGGTGGACAAAGAACTGTGCGGGCAAATGATACTCCCCGGTTGCCCAGGCCGAGGAAGGGGGTTTGTTTGAGGCACTCTAACTTGAACCCTTGACTCAAAAGTCTGGCCCACAAGGTAATGGGAGGATGTCGGGTTTTGTTTGGGGACCCTTCCCTTGGCCTCTGACTCAAAAGTTTGACCCGCGGGACAGTGGACAGTAGGGTTTTCTTTAGGGACCTTTCTCAAGGCTGATGAGGCAATAACCTGCTCTAACCTGCTCGGCTGTGAGGGTTGGCCTAACCCGAGGGTGCAGGAATTACTAAATCACTGTTTCACTCCTGATGTGGCTGCGCACGGTAGGTGCCTTTTGAGCATCACCAGACTCTGGTTTTAGAATTATTTCGATCGTATTGAACAACGTACCAGCAGTCACTATCAAGCTTCAGGCGATCGGAATGTGCAGTTTTTGCCTTTGTTAACCCGGTGAATTCTCGGGAGGAGGCAGCGCCGCTGCTTCCATGATTGGACATGCTTGTCGAACGGTGGAAACACTTTACCGCCTTCACATCTCTATCACAGAGGACAGTATGACTACCTCCAGGCTGTATCTCGCGATTATTGGTCTGACTGTTCCCCTTTGGTTTTCCTAGCATGTTTGCACCTTGTGGAACGAAGTTTCAGATAGTGTAACCCGCTTGACCATGGCACCTTTCAAGCCCGACCACCACGTCGCGGTGGTAACTTTAGGTTGGGAGGAGCGGATTGTCGAGTTCTTCGAGTAAGTGACCCTCGATAACCCACACTGACTGCCTAACACTCACTCAACCAAGAAGCGAAGAGTTGAGTGTCTGCGTCCATACCAGCACCATTCTTCCCACTATCCAGGCTTTGGTGAACTCACACAGATGGTGGAACATAAATGTGTTGGCACCAGAGAAGGAGTGGAAAGCCCTCGCTCAGCAGATATGGATCGAGCGCGAGATGACTCAGTGGTTAAGGTGCGAACTTACTGACCGAAAAAACCGTGGTTTGAATCCGATCTGTGTATGTCAACTGCTCCTGTGTAGGTTTTGGCAAACTAGCAGTATCTCGGTTCTCGTGCTTCCTTCAGGTGCATGGCAGCTAGGCGCCGAAAGGGTGCTACAGCTGAACCATTGAACTGAGGATCCTTGCTGCTGCTGCGTGTCAGATCACTGAAGTTCGCGCTCTAGCTAACTTAAGCCGAATTCGAAACCGGACAAGAGGTTTGTGGAAGAAAGGGACTGAAGTTGGAAGCAATACAAGTCCTCTCTCTGAGAATTTCCCTGGAGTACTTGCGCATCACCGAAGAATAGATGAATCTCGTTTGTTCGCAATGGCAAGGAATTGGCAGGGTACATTGCTACAAAATCCACGATAAGCCCTCAGCTCCTCTATAAGCATTTCACTCAGATGTGGAAGGTATTTTGTAGTACCTCCACGGCAAGCCTTGAACGGCCTCGCTTGTCGAAATAAATTGTTTTACGCCGTTCAGAACATCCTGTTCTCAAACACTTTCCATCCTGCAAACCGTGACTGTACTACTGGCGAGGACTTGACACACTTTCACGGCGGCATTTGTTGAATCAAAACTGAAAACCACACAAAATTAGCCCTACAAGACTGATGTATCTCGCAGGGGGATATGGGACCTTTTAGAAGAAGCCCCTTGTCCCTGGTAAAATCGGGGAGCTGGAAACCTTCACCTTCCAAAACCATTACCAAAACAGAGGTACTCCATTCACCAACTTCGACAAGTTTCAATAACTCAAGCTTATCAAGCTGATATGTTTAGGAAGCTCCTGGAAACGCACAGTCGTGCGGATGTCGAAGATTGCTTGGGGTTGAATGGAAGCGAGTTAAGCTATGCTCTCAGCTTCCAGAATCGGCCATCCAAACCATCCGACTCGAAATGAACACTGGACATCGTGTCGAAGATTCTTGGGGTTGAATGGAAGCGAGTTAAGCTATGCTCTCAGCTTCCAGAATCGGCCATCCAAACCATCCGACTCGAAATGAACACTGGACATCGTCGAAATCAACAGACCTTATTGTCACCAGAAAGGTCACTCCAGCAACTAGCGACTATGGTGGCACACGCAGATCCCTCAGTTATCGGATGACCGAGAGGTTGGAGAATGACGGAACGCTGGTGGATTGTGAAAGCCTATAAAGTGGAAAAGGCTTTCACTACAAGCAAGAGGCGCGACCTATTCCTGTTGATTTGACCAACCGGTCAAAAGAAGACAAGCGTCACCGAAAGGGGATGCGAAAAAAGAAGAAACGGCAATTCACTCACAAAATTGACGTCTTATGCGATGGGCTGAACACGGTTCATCTGGTTTCCTTCAGTACAACCGCAGGTTGTATAAATGGAACGCCGACACCAACCCGCCATCAACGAGAGAAATCCAGCGTGAGGTATTAACGTGAAAATTCCCCTTGTCAGGATGGTCTGTACCCGGCACTCTTCAAAAAAGTTTGGGAACAATCTGACGACTGTACTTTAGAAGATTTGGAACAAAAACAAAATGACAGTGGAGTGGATCTCCTCAACTGTCATCCAAATCTTCAAAAAGCGCTAAAGGACGTCGTGCGAAAACCATCGTGTCCTAACTACTATCTGTTGCATCCTAGGTGCTACCTGCCATTTTGCGCAGGTTGATCGGTCATCGGGAGACTAAGATTCGTGAGAATCAATCTGGGTTTCGACCTGGTTGAGGATACATCGACCATATATCTACGTTCAGACAAATTCTTGGAGAGTACTACTCTTTCAAACATCTCACACTGAAAGCTGCTTTTGACTTTCGATCGGCAGAAACTTTGGCAGTGTCTGGCGATCTAAATTTGTATCCCTTGTAGGGACACTGTGTGCGAAACCCTGTGGACGTGTATGAGTATAGGGCAAGCTTTCGCCTCAGTTCACCATGTCTAGTTGTGAGAGACAAGGCCTCTCTCTCGCCTTTCGTCTTCAACTTTGTTATTGACATGCTGCTTGTAGTTTCTCTTTCTGCCTCTGGAACCTCGCATGTCGAAGTACTCCCCGGGCGATCGCTGGCAGCTATCGATTATACGGACGATATTGCTTCTCTTGTTTCAAATGCTTCAAAAATGTAAACCATTTTAAATGACCCAAACAAATCTGCCGCACGGTTTGGCCTGAGATTCACATCTGCAAAGTGTGGAGTGTTGCTATAATATTGGGTGGGATCAAACCAAAAACTCGTGCTTGTAGACAAGCTAGTCGATGTGATAGATAAATTTGTTTATCTGGACTGTTGTGTGAGTTTCGGTAGATTAGCTGGAGATGAATTAGGAAGGCCAGGGCAGCATTTGTCAATCCCGGACACCTATGGTGCCAACGTGACGTCAGTTTGTCAAGGACAGAATTTACTCTGGCAATCCTACCCATACTGCTTTATGGATCAGAAACGTGGCCTCTACGCCCATACCATATACAAAGGGTCTCCATGTTTGACCGCTTCTCTGAAGCATTGGTCGAGTCTGGTAGGAACATCGGATTGGCAAGGCTGAGATACTCCATATGGTTTTAGGAAGAAAGGCCTCTCCCATGATAAATGAATTACCCACGCCTCATCGCTTATGCTGATCTGAACATGTACTCCGCATACCAGATTACCTCATAGGGCTGTTTACCCCATTATTATTATTATTATTATTATTATTATTATTATTATTATTATTATTATCAAAGAGAACAATGTTGACGCTGATGCTTCACTGCCCTGTGCTGAGTGGAGGCTACCGGAAGGTGGACAGTGTACGACTTGGTAACGAAGTATGAAAAAACTAACCAGTAAACTGAGTCGGGTCGACAACTGCAGCATCCCTGGATGGCTATGTCGGTGATGAAATCACTAATGGTTAATGACACTGGCAGCAATGGCCCAATGGCTATCGTCTTCAATGCATAGCTTCCCAGTTCCCCAACTAATTGATCCGGCTGTCTCCAGTGCTTAGCTATAGGTCCCACACTTTCACTTTCCGGTGATCGAAACCGTAGCATTTAGAATCAGTGTACCCATTGTGCATTGTTTATAGCTGATTAATTGAAATGAATTGGAAACCATTGACATGAAGACGTTTGACTATCGTGTTGGAAAAAACCTCAGCAGTGGGATAGACTCAATTTCCGTTGCACATCTTACCCAGCACATAACGACAGACAGGCGTTAGCTAGACAGTCCAGTTAGACTCGTAACTGGGATCACTTATGTGCCAAGTGTTTTGGGATTTCCAAACACTAGTAAGGAGAGCACTTGGATCTCGCCTAAGAAGGCCAGGGGATCCTAAAGCTTGGCAGTATCCGCATTCATTTCGCGTTTGCGTATCGTTGGCTATCCTCCGTGAAACTTTTGCCACAGGGGCTTTGAGCGGAAAGCTCTAGCTGTTCGGTAGACGGAAGTAATTTATGTGCAGTACATGCCCCAAGCACCTCAGCTTAACAAGTCCTGTCTGCTGCTCCAGCGGCTTATTACCTAATACTACGTACATGCGTAATCAGTCAAGAAACTGAGTGCATCAGAGTTATCGTTGAGTGCGTCACCACTGACGTCTCCCTTCTTGCACTTTCCTGCTTCTCTATCCCACCCCATTACTAATTTTCTCTCAGCAGATCCCAGCACTAAGAATAACTGATGTGTTCATCTTGATTTGCACTCAGCTGTACCTCTGTCTTCAGTAACAACCCTAAACACCACAAACTTAGTTTTAAAACTCCGAAAGCCGATCCTCGCACACTGAAGTAAGCAGAATGGTAAGCTGCTCTTCCTCATATTACGGATTCCTTCTGCATTGGTGTCTGCTGCCTGTCAGAAATAAGAATCTCGGATGCAACTACTAGCTGAACTGTTTCCGCGTCTGGCCGCCACCTCTCGTGACGGAGTTGCCGCTGCAGCTGGATATGTCTGGAGAGTATTGTGTTGAGCCATCGAGAGGAAGCGTCTATCTGACTGAAGACCCATTAGTCGTCGTCTTTGCGCGGTTCGTTTTATAACGTCTGTAAGACAATCTCGAAAAAGAAGAGTCATTCCCTGTTCATATTGTCTGCTTACTCCCCAACTAGTTGAAGCTCAGAATCTGTCAAAGACACTTTCCATTACACTCTGGCTGTCTGGGCTCAACGCCCAGACATAGTTGTACTCTCTGGTGACGTAGACGAACAGGTAGGGTTGACGCTATCGAGGCCCAAATGAGTTTTCGATACGAGACACCGATAATAAAGTGCCCATTGCAGATGTGTGCTGATCATTGACTGGTTCTTTGCAGAACCAGTTTTTGGAACAGTGGAAATGGTTTGGCACAATGGTACCCACCAACAAGCCAGTCCCAAACGCAAATAGGCCTCATCGCGTTCCTTCTTGACCACGTATGAGCGAGCCTTTGCGTGTTCTAAGGCTTTGGAGCCAAGGCCTTAGGTTAATTTCAGTACATAGTGAGTTATGCTTACCCACCACTTTGACACTTACGTTGCACACTTTTTCAACATGCGTGGTGTTGGCTTTTCTTTGTCGATGTCCTTCACATCTGACCGTGTCTGACGGATACTGTGGGCGTCATATGCGAGTTCGATTCTACTCTCATCTGCATCTTGAAAAACATCAGAAGTTCTATGCTGTTCCTTCACCTGCTAGTTTTTACCTTTTTATTTTCACGTATTTTCCCACTTTTTGACTATCCACTGGCACACGTGGTCGTTGTTGATGATAATGGTTTAGATATCTAAGACGGGGTAATGATCTGTCCAATGCGAATTTTTCAACTAACTGGTATCCACATTTTTTATCTTTGAGTTTCAGTCTTTTTCGTTATTTATGGTGAATTCCTACATCTCTCGCGCTGACCTGTTAGTTGTGCTGCATATAAATCTTATAGAACCGGGTAGTTTAGAGTGCACATGAAGTGCTCTTTAGGACTGCATGCCAGCCATTTGAGAATTATGCGCCAGCTGTGGTGCAAGCGGCAAGGTCTTGTCCCTAATTTCTGCTTCGCTTTTGTTTAGATCTGCGCGATCTGGTAATGTGTCACTTTTTGTGTTTCATATGGGTCACATGCGTCGAAGGGATGCGGCAGGTAAATTAGGGTCGCGCCGTAAAACTTCGCATGGTAATGCTGCTGCACTTTGTGAAGCTGGAAGTTGTGGAAACAATATAAAGTCAACGGTTAGTGACGCTGTAGCCTGTAGTTTTATTTTGTGATGGTTTCGTCCTTATTGCGACATCGAAAGCAGCAGACGTTCATCGCCCTGTTATGGTGGGCGAACTCCACTGTCCTCCGTTTTATCATTATTTTATCATTATCACCGTCAACTAAATCGGCATCTTATAAACGATTACCGTCTTCGCCGTCTATTAAGCAATGTGTCTTACCATCCTGACCTTTCATTGCCTTGATGACTGTGATCTAGTTCGTTTCCGTGCCTCTTTCTCTTTCTAGTAATGGCAGCGTTCACGCACCATCTAGTGACAGTGTTCTCGGGTCCCCATCTAGTAAAGATGTTGAGAGGTTCAACGGTCTTACAGAAGAGGATGTCAAGGATAAGGTTTTGCCGGACCATTTAAAAGAAGGCTTGGATATTGTTATCGTAAGTTTACGTCAAATACATGTTTCTTAAGGTGACATGATATATGGCGTACTGGTATACGCCTGAAGCCCATGGAACCATTTGATAACTTGCCTCCTGTTGCTTTCTTCCCCTCTGGCTTTACCGCCATCCTGTTGGTTTTTCGGGCTGAAAGAAAAAGACCAAAGTATACTACTCATAGATACCAGAACTCACCGACAGCCCACGACCGGCTTCGTCTTTGGGCACAGTCCCCGAGTATCTGTTGACTTTATGTCCTACTTGAGCATAAGTTTGGGCATAAGTTTGCAGTATCCCAGTCCTCCTACAACCATGGCATTAACAGCTAACAATAATTTCATGCAACATCGGCCGTCGCGTGGTGCCATCAGCCGAGTCGCCTTACTTGCTGCATAAGCAGGGTGGGGAAGCGAAAACATGCTACTGCTGACGCCTCTCATTGATAAACTTGTGAGGCGAGTACTGGACGGTCTTCAAAACCCCAGTGTTCAAATTGTTGCTGGTGAGAGCCTTGTCGATCTGGAGTACACGTATGACATCGCCCTCATCTTTGAAGACCAAAGTGAAGCACAAGCTTTTTTGAATAGACACCATCATCATACCATCTTTTTTCGTGCGCCTTGCACCTTCAAAGTATTAATTCATGCTTTAGAACGTTCAGTCTCCGAATATATCTCTTACAATTCAAGGAAAATCACTGGAGATTGTGGAAAACTTTACATGCCTCGGTAGTTGTATTAGCTCTGACGGAGGTGTGTCTGATGAAGTCAGCGCAAGAATCTCAAAGGCTCGAATCCCGTTTGCTAATTTGCGCTACTTGTTGCGTCAGAAAAGTATCTCACTAGATCTTAAGGGTCATGTGTACCGGGCTACAGTAAGGGCTGTGTTGTTGTTTAGATGCGAGACATGGCCTCTGCGGACAGGTGATGTGAGGTGTCTTCAAGTTTTCGACCACCGATGTCTCAGAAGCGTGTCCGGTTGTGGACGGCGTCAGCGTTTTGGTAACGAAGTTATTAGAAAACAGGTATTTGGTTGTGCTGAAGGTGTTCTTCCAGGAAAATATACTATAAGATCTCGGCTATCGCACGAACTGAAATCTGAGGTGGCCTTTATGCAGCACATTCAGTTGGAGGATATCATAGACGCGAGATTCAGATGAGTCTCCCGTGAAAGCCAAATTAGTTCCCAAATCAGCATAGTTCGTGAAAACCACTCAGTTTTATCAAATGTTTTCAGCCCATGAGCGATGTGCCTGAATCGTTGTTTTGTTTCCAAGCGCTTTGTTTGTGGGCTTTATAGAAGAGTATTATTCGGTGGTACCAATCAACTGTAAGTTGTCGTTTTCAAGTTCCCTTCACCACGTTCATAACTGACCCCCTGCCCAGTCATGCATTAACATGTGGGGAAAAGTTCGTCTTTTATACCGCTTGTAATATTATCGTGAGCGTGATCAAACTCATCGTAGAGAACGACTTGGCTAATCAACGCTCCCAAAGATCCTTCACTTGACATTAGATTTGTATGTATTCGTTTTTTACTTGTAATCCTTGTGTTACGATGCCGAATCTTCATGCTCGTGATCCATAATTTTTTCTCTGCTTCGACTGGACTTTGCTTTAAGTTCACATACCTTTGTCTCCCCCAGGTTGGTATCAACCCTAGCTTAGCTTCCGCATCTGTCGGCCATCACTACGCCGGTCCTGGCAACCACTTTTGGACTTGTATTTCACAAGCCGGTCTAGTCCCAGAAATGGTTACCTGCTACGATGATGAGAGGATGTTGGATTACGGTATTGGATTCACAAACGTTTGTACTAGACCGACTAAAGGCGCGGCTGAGCTTACCAGGAAGGAAATGAAGGCTGGTGCAGCGATAATGTTGGAGAAGATGAGAAAGTACAGGCCAAAAATCGCTGTCTTCAATGGGAAAGGTGAGTTCTTTATATGTAAGACGTGCCGTTTGTTCAAACCGGAACTTAATTTTGCCAGGGGTAGAAAGATGTAAATGCTTGGTATGGGGAGATCCTCTCTTTCTTATTCGTTAAAGCAGCAGACTAAACTTACCTGGTTAAGATGATCTGGGTATGTGGAATGCATACCCAACAACCGTCCACCGTAGAAGGTGTTGGTTTCCGTTCCGTGATTGTTGGAGAAAGGTTCGCGGGGCATGTATTGACGTGACAACATGAATGAAATCGGTTACTGTCAAGCGTCTTTTCGGCTGGGGCCCACGTGATCCTGACTGTAGTCGGTTAGAAATAATCCAGGGCATGGATGGCAAACCAGTTCCAGTGATGTGTCGGGAGCCCTTCAGTTCTTTCACCCATAAAGGTCCGTAGGCGTCCACTGATGGAAGTTGGAAATGCTTGTCACATACATAGATGTTTTTCGGACATTGTTTACCTATACACATACGTGTGGTTTCGTGACCATTGGACAGCATCGTAACCAAGGGCATTCTTGTGTATTCTTAAGGCATGCTAGTTTTGTTCAGACCCTTTCGGTGCCTAGCTGCCATGCCACCCGAAGGTTGCACGAGGGCTAGGATACTGCCAGGTTGCCCAAGCCTAGGGAGGGGAAGTCGAGAGGCAGAGGTCGGGTTCGAACCATCGACCTTCATGTCAGTAAATTCGCACTCTAACCACTTGGGCCATCTCGCCCCGGCAAGCTAGTTTACTTACCGTCTTTTTACTCTCATCCCATCAATGTCTCCTTTACGAGAGCCATGTTCTATATGTATTCCGTGGTTCATTTTTGTTGCAGGTATTTACGAAGCATACGTGGGACATAAAAATTTCAGCATGGGTCGACAACCTACAACTCTTGATGGAACGGATACGGTAAGCCGCTGTGTGGTGTTCGGATTATCTGGTTTCATAAAGTCATGTGGTCCCAACTGAACTTGTTCCATCCGGTCCTCAGAAAGCTCTGTAGCTGTAGTTTGGATCGCTCGCGCATCAGGCTTTTCCTGTGACACTGTTTTTTTATGAATCGCTTCTCCAGCACGATAAACGAGACTCCCGAGCAGTATTACCGTATTCTCCCCAGTTTTCATTGCAAATGATCTCCAACATTGTTGGCTCTTTTTTCAAGGTAACATATCCAGCCTATAGTCATAGCACTGTATACAGGTCGTGTTGCTTTCGGAGCTGGGTGGAACGGACTCATCTCATTCCAAGTTAATCTCAGTTTGTCCATACGAAGCAATAGGTTTTTATAGAATTACAAATAGCTGTCGAAGAGTTTTCGGCGACCTTATGAGTGTATTACTTCTATAGCATTGTTCACCGCTCTTTGCATGGTTCATTGGAGGCTCGAAATGCTCACCCGTGTGTGGTCCACTATCCAATCGGTTCCGCAATACTTGGGGTCGGTCGATCTTTGTTTTCTCGACGTCACCGGTTGTTTTAAATTGCAGTGTTTTAAATTGCAGACAACTGGACATTGCTATTATGTAATCAAAATGCCTATAGTCCACTGTATACAGGTCGTGTTGCTTTCGGAGCTGGGTGGAACGGACTCATCTCATTCCAAGTTAATCTCAGTTTGTCCATACGAAGCAATAGGTTTTTATAGAATTACAAATAGCTGTCGAAGAGTTTTCGGCGACCTTATGAGTGTATTACTTCTATAGCATTGTTCACCGCTCTTTGCATGGTTCATTGGAGGCTCGAAATGCTCACCCGTGTGTGGTCCACTATCCAATCGGTTCCGCAATACTTGGGGTCGGTCGATCTTTGTTTTCTCGACGTCACCGGTTGTTTTAAATTGCAGTGTTTTAAATTGCAGACAACTGGACATTGCTATTATGTAATCAAAATCTGGTCTCATTTTAGGTTTTGTGTGTCCTGGTCACTACACAGGATGTCACGGACCATTTTTACTGGATTTTAACTTGAAGTCTCGTAGCAACCCTCTCCATCGATCGAATGCCAAAAACTTAATGAACTTGACCTGGGAAACACCCCGTACAAGGATCCTCCACCTCTATTGAGGCTCTACATTTCATTGCGCAAATTAGCGCGTTCGTATTGGTGAACTGGTTGAATCTGCGCACTACTCACAGATTCATCAACGGTGTTATGAATTTTTGAAAATGTGCGAGACATTTTCAACTCCAGTTCAGTTATTCTGCTTCGAATCATCCATCTGTGATGATTTGACCCCGGCCGCTGGTGAAAAATGGGATAGTAAAGAGGAGATAATCATGCATTAGAAGCTGTGATCCTTTCAGTTAATTGGTGGTAAATTGCTTCATATTTTCTGTTTCCTATTTTTGTAGTGGGTAGTTACGTGCTAAAAGCAACATTCTTGATGCAGAATCGCCACTGACTCGATCATATCTGCCGGTGTCACTGACCATTGTTGTGTCGATCCCGTGTCCCCACCCAGTTGGTTTATCGCAGCCGATTTGGTGCCGCTGACAAACTCATCATAGGTGAAAGCCCTGACTGTAACGATACATTACCGTCTATCCATATCTGGTTTTGTGATTGATTGTCCGTAGCTCTCTACATGGTGATCCTAAGCTCACAGTTTTCCAAATACGTGTGGCCTTAACTTCGTTTTAAGCCCACTGTCTGTTACTCTCTCATTTCAGCCAAATAATTAACAAAGTCAGTCCGCCACATGCATTTGGTTTTGTTTATTTCTCAACATTGATTGCTTGTTTTTTATCGCATCCTAACCCTCGAAAGATAGTTGGCTTGATTAGTAATCATCTTCTGATTCATACATCTCTCTAGTAAACGCGTTTTCTTAACCGGTTTGTTGGTTTCTCTTCCTATAGTCTTTAAGCTCTTCATTACTCTTCTTGTTGTGTCTATTGTTGTAGACAATTTTCGTCATGCCTTCCTCGAGCGCTCGTTGTGCTCAGCTGCCTAGAGCCGAAGACAAGCTGCCTTTCTTTGTCGCTCTTCGCAAACTGCGGGACTACATTCGGGGTGACCTGTCTGAACTTCCCGATTCCGAGGTGGTGTTTGCCGACTATACCGAGTTTCGCGTCACGCAGCCCGACCCGAAAAGTCTTCGTAAGGCGGAACGAAGACGAAAACGTAAGGCAGAGGCAGCGGCTGCCGCAGCAGCAGCGGCGGCGGCGGCAATCTCTGGTGGTGGCTCGGTCGATGGAGGAATGGTGAATGGTTCAATGGTCTCAGCTTCGTTGATGTTGGACTCAATGACAGGTGTAATCTCCAAGCCAACGGCAACGAATGGTATCCCTGACGGAAAAAACAGATCCAAATCAAAGAGTAAGGTTCATTTTCTAAGTCTTTTTTTCTGTTTGCACTTGCTGAGATTCGATCCCAGTATTATTTCATTTTTCATCAACCAGGGAGGTCAACCAAAAATTCTAAGTGCTCCGTGAAACAGAGCCGGTAGAATGAAAAACTGCAACCGATTTATGGATTAAAACTCAACGGCTAGCCGTGCCTCTCCTGCTTCCAGTCTTGCACTTAGAAGTGTATGACGGTACAAGGGGGCGCCTTCGAATATAAGCCGTGTTGCATCCCTAATTACTTACTTCGTACTGACCGTCCACCGGACATTTTTGAAACCGACCTATCAGATTCCAGGGGGGGGTCCTCACAATTTCCCATCATATCGGTGGTGACGGAAACATGGTATCGACACTTTCCCTCACTGATTGTTCTGAATGCTTACATTGCCTGATGATGTCTTCCCATTAAATGTGTAGCACACAGACTACCTCGAGGTTCCGTTGCAACTCTACTCGATACAGTTTCCTTAACCTCGATGTTATACAAATAAGCCCAAAAGGGAACTTGGGAAGTGAAGGGAATGTTAGTAGTTCAGGTCGTCGTGACAAACGTTGACTCGTTCGCTGAGTCTGGTGATAAAAGTAAAATCATCAGGCGCCAGATGACGTCGTTAGTGCGTGGATGTTGTGCGTGCATTGGTTGGTGTAGGGTCGACTCATTCAGGCTAACGTCGACTGATCTTTTGTCATTGGGGTGAGTATTTCTGTCGGCTGACCTACCTCTTGATCGGTGAGTGTTTAGGTGGCCTTGGGGCTTAACCTTTCTGGTCCCTTTGCCGTAACTCGTGTTCAATAGCTTCCATAGTGAGTCCTGTTTTTGGTCCGTCGGTTTCCTCAATACAGAAGCCAGTTTTTGAACTGCTTGAATTCCCTTCGGTCCTAGCTTAACTGTGAATTCAGATATGTGTCCGATTTCGAAGGAACTACTGGTTAGTTGATTTTACTGTTCCTACGACTGCCCTCGGTCTATGATGAGCCTTTTAAATATCCATCATTTTTCAATGCACGTTGGAGGTAATTTCCTTTCTGTCTGAGTTCTCTTGTACTGCAATGCGTCTCCAGTTTGAATGTTAGTTTTCCTGTTGTTTCCGTTGTATGTCGGTGTTTTCCCTCCTTCGATATACACATGTGTGAAGAGTTCCGCTCTATTTTCTGCTCAACAGTAGTCCAAAAATGTCATTTGGTTATTTGTTTCAATATCGATTGTAAATGTGATGTCTTCAGATATTGAGTTGAGCAGGCGTAACACACTACTCATGTGGTTGCTGAGAAACCTTCGACGGCTTACGACCGGTTTCGCTCTTTGGGTCCCATAAGGTCGGCGCATTCCCCAAGTTCCCCTCAATCTTATATTCTACTTGAACCTAAGTTGGATAGTTGTCGACCTTTGCTTGGGCCTCTTATGCTGAGCAGTACATATGCATGTACTGCAGGCTCGTTCATATTAATGAGTGTCATTCACCTAGCGTATTCAGGGTTTTGGGTTGGTGACAGATTGTACAGTACGTTCTAGTTTCATTGTCCAAGTAAGTTGCATGGACTGTTATTGGTGAATCTTGAGCTGATGTTTCGGCTGTTTGGTTTTTTTTAGTTATCCATACTCGTTTGCTATTCCCATAGGGACACGCTCCTGGGCATTTACCTCCACTGTCTTATGTGCAATCGCACGCCTTTTTTAGGGTACAGCAGTGCCAGTTAAACCACATCTTTGACGAGCTTCAGGCATCTTTGGGATTTCTTCTATATAAATATTGAGGCTAATTAGAAGTCGGGGCGCATTTTGCGAGTTCCACTGCGCTGTTCAGCTGGCCATAATACGATATCGCGTTGCATAGTGAAGTGTCCGGAAGTCAATGAATGATGTTCGTTCAGGTTACTTCTAACCAATGTATTAATCGTCAGTGGACGAAACCTTTGCAGATACCCCATAACACATGTGAGATAATCGGTAGTTGGAGTCAAAAAGTTGTGAATATTGTGTGTACGAAAATTTCTACCCTGTTTAAAATGAGAGTCCGCATGGGAGAATGTGTAATACCAAGCTCAGTTGTGATAATTTTGACCTGGCTAATACTTGATAAGCCAAGGGGGTTTTGAGAACGTGAATAGATATACGCACGTTTCCTCACCAATCGGTGACGTCAGTTGTGTCATGATTTGGCGGCACGTCATTGATCGGGCACTAAGCTGTGCTGTGCTCGATCTCTATACATCTCGTTAACTAGGTTTAATCTTTGATTATAGTTGATCGTCCCGATTATCCGTCCTCCATTGTCAGAGGAACAGCTAGTCAGATCCCACCAGTATGAGAATCTGATGGTCTTTTGTGAGTTTTCCTGTGCTTCCTTATTCGCATTAGTTAGTATGGTTTCGGATAGATGACGTTTTTTGTAACTGTCAACTAGACAGTTGACCCTCAAAGTACGTGTGTCAATGACAACGGAGATAAGAGGCTCCCTTATTTGGAGGGAATTGTTCACCACTGCAAGCACATTAGCAATGCTGCGCACCTCTGCGATTCCAATAGCTACGCAGTTTATATTAGTAGTCATTAGTCATTCAGCTGTAATACTCTTTAGTGCCTAGCTGCCATACCCCCCAAAGGAAGCACAAGAGCTGGGATACTGCCAGGTTGCCCATGCCCAGACATTGAGTTGATAGTAATTTGCCTCCTCAAGTAGTCTTGTGGTTTTCGTGGATATTTCCGGTCAGTTACCTCCTGAACGGGATTGTTCACGCTTGCTGGATTTCACTGTCCCAGGCAGCCGATAAGAATACATGTTTGTGATTAGGTTCATCGATAAATTGACCCTACGTACCGACCGATGGTAAGATTTGCCGAAATGATTTTCACACAACCTCGCTGTGACCAGCTGATCGTGATAACCGTCGAATTCCCCGATCGCTGAATCACCCTAATCGTCAACGCCGGTGACATCTTGAGAATGAATGCAGTGTGTCCCTCTGAACCAAATCTGGCCTCCTAAAACGGATCGTGAGAAACAAAACCAGACACTTTTTCGCATGGGGACTTTTCTTGAAGTTTGCCGTTCGTGTTCTACCAGTTCCAAATGACCACAATTGGTCATCCATCGAACAATTATTGTCTAATCGGTGAAGCACATTCCAGAATATTTGACCTTGGTAATCACTACAGGTCAGTAAAAGGCTAAAGAACATCCTAGTAATTTTTCGGTGTAAGGGGCGGCAAGGCTGACAGGTTACTGGGTATGCATTAATGAGGTCGCAAAGAATAGGACATCGAATACCGCAAGCTATGAGCTTGTAACTGTCCTCTCCCTGCACCGCACCAGTTGCGCACGTGATCAAGATAACTCTCACTGTAACACAAAATGAATGTGGATTGTGTTTGTGAAGAAAAGTAAACTCAGTTTGCCCTCTTCAGAAAAAAAATGACGTTGGGGGACCGCGTGACTTGGATTTCCTTTAAGCAGACTTTTCGACCGGTATGCGTAAGTGGTCCGTAGTCCGAAACAAGAAGTAGTCTCTTGAGAGTTCTGCAATCCAATCCCATCGAGAGAGGAACGGTTCGACGTAAAACACGACTGCAAACTTTCGAGAAAGTGTTTGCGGTCTATTTTCTATTATTGTGGTAGTATCAGCACTGGAGCCCGTAGATACACATTTGAATGTGGAGGATGCGACAACGGACTTCAATTCTGATGTTTGGTAGAGAGGTGAATGCCCGGAACTCCTGTTGTGATCTATCATAATCGACCTATGTTCACTATGTAGACCGTTGAAGTTGATGTGATACGGGGTCATCTGTACTCTGGCTTGACAGTTTCTATGGGTGTACCCTTCATACCTCCGTACCCTTCAGATACTACACGCCGTCGCATTTGCTCACCCCCACCGTTCACTTGCGATTAATATCTTCCAACCCCGATTCACAGCGTCCTTGACGTCCCCTCGTAACTAATAAATCGTTCTGCATGTCTCTACCCTTGGTGACGTTGATTTAGCCTCCTCGTCCCTCGCTCTTCTCTCACTACGTTGTCAGTAGTGAACGATGGCACGCATGTGCTGTGCTGTTACGCTTGAACACCTCCTGTCGGTGGCACATCAGAGTCCATGCTTGGTTTGAAAATTTCAAGCCGATCTATCCGTGGGTCGACCACTTTGTCTGACCCTTGCGAGGCGGGTCAGCCGTCGTGTGAAGTCAGGGCTAGAGAGTTGTGTGGATTTTGTCTTATCATGGTTGTAAGTCAAGCGGACGATGGACATGCGTTCACTGGACTACGTCACCACCATTTTCTCACTCTGCCGCTGTGGTCCAGTCGCTCTCACCTGGCTTGTGACATCGACCAACCAGGACTTGCATGCGTGTTCAATTTGGCAACCTTGAGAGAGAGACAGAGACACAACCTTTGCTAACGCTCGCATTGCGTTTCGTCCGTGTGCAGTCTTGTCGACCCGGTCGTTTCTTTGTCGTCTTTGTGTCTCACGCCTGGTGTGTCCCACACAGAACGCACATCGCGTACGCCCGAACGCTCTCGTGCTCGCGTGCCTACATCAACTTGTGCGTGTGCGCAATTGTGTTTACATACGCGCACGCCAGCAGGACACCCGCTGTCCATCGTTCGCCAATGTAATGCACGCACACGCCTACCTCTACAACGTTTGCTTCCCTTTGGCGATCGATAGACCCTTTCTGCTTTTGCCTTGTTCTTCCCCTCAAATCCCACAAGCCGTACAGCTAGATCGTAGTGGACCGAAGACACCCGGCTATCCGAACCTACGTCTAACCGGGGAGAAATGCTTGACAGTAGACCATCTATGGATAATTTATTCTCTGACGTTTCTCTTCCTTTTCACCAAAGCTTCCATCACGGCTCGTGGTTTTCTCTCCCTGTTCAATGGAAACGGCGCTCATCTCCTTCCTACCCTGGCAGGAGGTTAGGCGAAAAATTAAAGTAGTTACTTGGGGGATAGCTGAAGTTTCTATGGCATGTTCACTGTTTGGACTTGCAGCTCTCGTTAAATCCTACCTGTCCAATGACCTATCATGTTGTGAGGGCTGTTTTCCCTTCTGACCGTATTTTAAACACCTCTCTACCATTCTGCCGCACAGAAGAACACCGAACAACACTTCACCCTGAAGGTGCTATAATGACACTAAGCTAATCTGTGAAAATTATCATGATGGTGAGATAATGCGAGGTCAAACTAATGAGAACGCCATTCCAGGCTACAACAAATCATTACGGCAACGGAGGGGATAATTTTCCCCTACTATACCGCGGTTAAATTCCCCTAGTGTGGCCGTATTGGATCCACACCCTAATCATCTCTTTGTTATTCATATAGGCTTGCAACAGATCATCAATGTCATGCCTGTTTGGGCCGGTTCCGGGTAGCATTCTTTCCGTATACCATATACGGAAAGTGCACTAAGACAAAGCAAAAATCCACACCAACTATCCCTCTAAAAGAAACGTTGTCCCTGGTTCGCCTACTACACTGTTCCCTCCATAAAACTAAGGGACAAACGTAACTGATGTGTTCACGGACAAGCGCTCGATTGCAGTATCCTATACAGCTGAAGCTCCTCCGGTAGCAACTGCTTTCATCTGGTCTCTGTCAGTAACGGGGGTTCAATGTGTGTTCCTGTGTGTCCGTTTGGAGTGCCAATTTTCGATTTCTTCCGTCAGTAGGTTTTTGCTGACATTAGTCGAACATTATTATTCTAGTTCCTCGAAAAGTGAGGCGATTTTCGCCCTGAAATTCCCACAAAAAGTTCTCTCCTGACGCTTGCCGCCTCGCAATAGATATTCCATGTCTTTTAGCCCCTGTTTATAGAAATTATTCCTTTGTATCCGGGATTGTTGAAAGGCGTCTTTTATATATACCGGAGTCTGGTAAAGTCAACGTAGTTTGAAATTCTATTGGAAATTCGGATGCATGGGAACCATTGGTTAAATCCATCCTTATTTGTATCGATTTTGGTTCATTCTTTTAGTGTCAAGCTAGGTTTGTTGGACTGATGTGTATTTTACCCGGGAAGCTAGGATTTATTGATAGCTTGTTGCCTCCAGATTGCCGCGTGACCAAGAAAGCGAATAATATGTCAGCAAAAATAATATTTCCCGGTAAGGTCCTACGGTGCGGACTAAGCTTTACAGGTTTCCTCCGCAAGCTGTTTTTCGAAAGAGGAGAATCGTATTTGCATCCGCGTTTCCTCATCGCCTTCCCTGTGGGTCTGGTAATTCACTTAAAATTCAGAATCTTGGTGGCAAGTTTTATGCAGTAAACTCATTTGAGCCCAAGACATTGGTGTTCAAATTATGTCTAAAATTTGATACTCACTATTTGGTATTTTTTTTAACAGAAGGCGAATTCGCCATGTGCATTTCACACATTGTTTCCAAATGGAACACCAGTGATACATGCTGGCGGTCTTCTCTACAGTTTCAGTGGGCCTTTCTCCTAGGGTCTGACAAAGCATGCTTGTTTGCGGTTCTATTGAAATTCTCCATTGTGACGTAACTAAAATGCAACAAATAACCCGATTTCCAGTTGGAGCACAGTGAGGGTTTCCAAACAGAGAATGCGGAAGTTATGCTCACACTCTACGTCGCAACACGTGCCGGGCAGGTTCGCAGCGAGAGCATGGAAGTAACACAGGCGTGCGGGTTGTTCTACGTAACTATGCTCGCTGGCTGGTCAACTCGTCCCCCCTCCGTGTTAGGTTCGGTTATGGCGTATTTAGTGCTTGGCTGAACTTTGTACTACTTGCTCTTCCATAGTAGCTAAACTATAATGATCAAATGTCATAGACAACCCTGGGCACGAGACTCCTGAAAAACGCTTCGTTTTTCACGATCGCTGCCTGGTGTATTGAAAAGTCAAAACATCTTGACAGACTTTTTCAAGTAGACCTATACCACATAGGAACATACTGTATTTTTCAATAATGGTAGATAAGTGATTGAATGATAGTGCTGGTACTGAAGGTACTAACCACACCGAGGTTGAGGTGCGTAACTTTTTGCATTCTGATACCATTCAAAGAACCCTCCCAAACGAAAACGAGGACTTCGGGGAGCATATTTAGCCCACAATATTAATAAGCAGGCGATTGTTTGAGGAGTACTTTTCTCTTAGTGTTGGGTGTAACGAATATCTCAAATTACGGCATAATGCGCAGGGGGTATGGGCGGATAAAAGTGCACCTGGGTTTAATTATATGAATTTACCTTTATTTCTAGTGCTGAAAGTCTAATTTGGCTTATCTTTTGGCTCGTGCGATTCATGCCGTAGTTCTGCCCCTAAGTTACAGGACAAGACAGTCCTTCAGTCGTAACACCCTTTCGATGCCTAGCTGCCGTGCCACCCAAAAGAAGCACGAGGGCTGGGATACTGCCTGGTTGCGCAAGCCTAGATAGGGGAAGTCGATAAGCAGAGGCCACTCTAACCACTGAGCCATCTCGCTTCCAAGTCAAAGGACAAAATTTTGGGTTTGTATAAGAACATTAGAAACCTACTTCGGTCACCTACTTTAATCAGCTATCTTGGTGCATCTGTAGGTAAGTAATCTCATTTGTGCTCGGCTGTCTTAGCGAGACGAAAATTTTTGAATTAACAAGTTCGTTTTACATCTGAGGTCTCAAATTTGTACTGAAAGCTTCATTGGGGTTAACCTTGCTTCTCGGTTTTGCAGTTGTGACAATTGACTGTGAAGGAACTTATCTTCCCATTCACTTGCATACCTCTGAATGGCTTATTGTGTATAAGGTATCAAGCATGGGCTCTTTCGATCCTCCGCTCCTAGCTGTTAACATGACGGTTTGAAATACTACATGTTTACTGTACTGGCCGGTAACCGAGCTTCCGCAAGAAGATAGCAAGTACAACTGATGTTTTCTTACAGCACCCACCCAGAGGAATCGGCATAAAAGTCCACCTCTGTTCGAGAGATCGGATTTTGGCTGATAAGTGAGGGTGCATGCTGTTATGAACTTTCCAGGCGGTTGTGTTTTCTCCAGTCCAGA